CTTTTGAAAGTACAGGGAATGGTAGATGCCTTCAAATCACAGAAAGAGATCCACTCTTTCTCATATTGCAGAAATATCCCCACTATCTTAGAGGGTACTTCAACATCACTAACTAAGCTGGTACAGAAAGAAATTAGTATTTTCCATCCTTCAGGGAAAGGGACCAGAAACCATTCTCAGGGAAGGTATAGGTACAAGTTATTTTTCATATAACTGACTCCAAGCAGAGTCCTATTAGCCACATATCCACCCTGCTACTTCAACCTCTGAGGAGTGACTCCTCTAGGGCGAATCAGAATCACTTGGCACTGGGAGGATTGTAAGGCCTGGAGTGCTTTTTTGGGTAGGAGGTCCAGGGTTGAAATATGGCTTCAGGGGCTGGGTGAACTTGCTTTTGAAAGTATAGAGAATGGTAGATGTATTCACATTATAGAAAGAAATCAACCCTTTTTCATACCGCAAAAACACCCCCACGACACCAGGGGGGGTTTCAACATCAATAACAAAACGTGGCACAGTGAGGCCTTCATACCTACCATCACTCAGGGAAAGGGACCAGAAACCATTCTCAGGGAAGGTATACATATGAAGGACTTTTCGTTTAACTGAATCCCAGCAGAGGCCTATCTGCCACCTGTCCTGCCCTGCTACTTCCACCTCCCAATAGTGACTGCCACTAGAGAAGCTCTTATGACCGAGCACAAATGGCATTACAGTAAATCGCACTGGTTTGTCAGGAATATCCTGCATCGTAGACAGGGTGTGCACATGCTTCCTATCAGGTGATACAGCAAGGGATGGATGAGCAGTGTTCGTATCCAGTTTGATGTCCTCTGCAGAGGAAAAGAGATCAGTTATTATAAGCAATAAGAAAAGAAAAGACCTTCACCTTCCATGTGAGAGGTCAAAGCAGGGAAGATGGACAAGGCACATGTGTTCTAGGCCCTTTTACAAACACAAAGACAAAAGAAACAGACTAGTAATAACCATGACAGCATCTAACCAACAAATCTGAAAGTCCTTTCCTGCCGAAAAGTACCACCAGAACACTCCATCTAAAGATGAAATTCATGTCAGAGCTTGCAAGGCCTCCCGTGGTGGAAGCTGAATAGAGGATGGAAACCCCCTTGGGAAAGGTCTTTACCAAGGTTCTGACACTCAGAAAGTCTCTAGGTGTTAGCACTAGGAACACCAGGCCCTCCATGGACAGAGGGAACATAACAGAAGGGTAGGGGAAGGTCTTGGAGACGGATCCCCCTGCTCAGCTCGGAGGCAGAAGATCAGCAGTGAATTCAGAGGGTAGAAGAGTGGTCAGTGCCGCAGGAGGAGGGAGAGGGAGGAGGTGGAGCTAGGAAGTAGCAGGAGGGTGGTGGGGACCACTGAGGACCACGAGGGCCATTGTCAGGCTGAGGGTGTTTGTGGAGCTGGGGTGGGAAGACAGCAGAGGGTACAAATTAGGAAGGAGGATTCACAAGTATGTAATGAGGCTGTTCTGGAGACGGAGAGGGGAGTAGGAAAACAGCCCTACGGAGAGTGGGTTTACTGATATTGCTGTTTACTTTATTGTTAAGAAAGCTAAGGAGAAAAAAGAGAGTGTGTTCCTGTTGGTGAGAATGACCTGAGGGACACGAGGGCTTCATTTGAATGGAGAGGAGAGAGAAGAAACCTAAGCCCACACTTCATCATCACTCTCGAGAGTCCTGTGGGGGTGGGAACAGAATGGTGGGGACCTGCTCCTCACTGAGGAGAGCCTGCATGTAGGTTAGGAGACCCCATTGTGTCTGTGCTGCCCAGAGCTCATGCATGCATTTATGGCAGTCTAGCTAGACCACCTCTCCCATAGTGGGACTTGGGTCTTAACCAACTTAGGTTCCTGCAACCAGCTACAAAGGATTTTCTTTGCCACCTGTATCCTGTACATCATTTGGAAAGAACTTTTTCTTTCACAGGAGAATCCCAGAGAGGTAAGAGGATAGGCAATGAGGCCATTCTGAGCCACGCCTCCTTCCCTGTGACTTACCTGCAAATCTCCGAGCTTCTCTGAGACCTGCAATGAGATGGACACATTTAGGGTTAGTTGAGTGATGGGGACGGTGAGACTATGCAGTAATGGGATGTGGAGACCAAGGGGACAAGAATTCACTTACCTGTCTCTCCTCGTGCAGTTCTTTGTTCTGTAATTAAACAGAGTGACATCAATATGTGGGGGACACAGTGGTTGAATTCCAAATGTGTTTAAAAGTCATACACAGAACTTACCAAGTTCTTCATCGAGTTTCTCTAAAGAAAAAACAAAGAGGTGAATGAAGATGAGTCTCTGAAATGCCAACAAAGTTCAGCCTGGGTTTTGCCATGTGTATTGAAGGGTTCACTGAACATGTGGGTCATGTGGGGAACTCTGTGAAGTACAGACTGGGGGGTATCTTGTCTTATGTTCCCACATGGGAAATCCAGAGATCCTGAATATCCTGAGACTTTACCATTTTCTTCTTCTGTCCAGTAAAGTCTACTGCTTATGGAGGCCAGTGCATTGGCTGACTTTGTCTCCATGGCATTCCTGAGGCCACGGCCACTCTTTCCTGTCACTCAGCACACACTTATTAAAAACCCACTTCAGAGCAGCTGCTTCCCTATGTTCCAGGAACATCACCATAAGGGAATAGGGTCTCTCCTCCTCAGGGCCATTGTGAGACACCTGTCAATCATAGCTCAATGCTACAAGCATGGGCTACAGAGAACAAGGACCTCTGGCCCTCTGCAGATTTGACAAGTGATTATGTTTTTACTGAATTAGAAAAAAAAATCTTCTCCAAAACGTTTGTTCACTTCATTAAAATAAATCAAAGAAAGAGAAGAAACCTGTTAATTTTAGTTCTCATGTGGAATTACTTTCAATATCTTTTTGTGTATACTTAAAAAGTGTATTCACCCCATGACCAAAAAAATTATCCACTAATGCTTCTTGCAGTCTGCTTATTTCATTCAAAACTAATTCTTAACAATTTCCAAGAAAGAAGCACTCTCCTAAAGTGTGATTTAATGCTGAAACAGTATTTATTTTCATAAATTTTATGTATCATACCAGTCATTTGTGTATATTGGAGACAAAGGACAGTCATTTATATTTCCCAGGTGAGATGAAGTAGAAAAGGAAAAATAAAGGTTATGTAGAAAAGGGACCCTAAGAGCCAGTCAACATGCAGAGAGACACTGCTGCAGTTTGTGACTGGGAAAACCTAAGAGAAAGCAGTAATTTGAGAACAGAGGGAGGCTTGGACTCATTTCCAAGGCCCTGTGCCCCTCACAGCCTGCCACCATATCATCAGGCCTATGTGACCCAGGAACCACTGGTATCAAGATCATTTGTGAATTTGGGTTCTGGGGTTAAACCACAAGGTGTCTTTCCCATATGAGAGAAGGTGACCATGAACTTGGTACCAGAAACAGGGACACCATCTTTATGCCTCCTTCTGCTCCAGCTCCCACTGAGCCTCCACCAGGGATCCCTCCCCAAAGCCTCTTGATTCTAGATCCATCAGGGGCCTCAGGTGCTGGTGTCCTCCCTCCCACCTTCTCCACTGCCTGCTGAGTGCTCCTCAACCACAGGGAGGTCCTCCCCTGGTCCCCAGGGCCCTCTGCTGACCACTCCAGTGGGTTCTGTAATGTAGCCTCTGGGTCCCTAATCACTAAACCTCTCTGCACTAAAAACCCTTCATAGCTTTTCACCGCTTGGAGGACAAGAACCAAAGCTCTGTATGACCAGAAAGCTTCTTCATACTCTGCCCTCTAGACTTCTCCACTCCTGTTCCTTCTCCTAGCTCTTTCACAGTTTTCCTTGGTCCTGGGTTTTTATAGATAATTATGAATTGGGACCCTAGGAGCCAGTCTGTAGAAGATAGTGAGCTGCATGGTGACCTTTCCTTACCTGCCTGTTCTGCTCCCAGCGTGTCTAGCCGACCTTTTAGCCTTTTGTTCTTCCCTCTCTCTGCCCCTCCCTTGTGCTCCCTCTTCTACTTTCACATTCCTGTTGTTTATTTGTTTCCACATATGAGGCAAAGCCTGCAGTACTGTCCTTCTCTGTCTGGTTTTACAGGCTTCAGCCTATGTACTGTGTTCAAGTTTCATGCATTACAATGCATGGTAGTGGTGAGATTGCAGATTCTTGTCTCAATTGTGATTTTAGAAAAAAGGTTTCAGACTTTCTCCATTCACTAGAATGTTGGCTTTGGTTTGCCTTCCAATGTCTTTATTATGTTGAGGTGTGATCCTTGTGGACCTAATTTCTTCAGGGCTTCTGGGCTGAAGAGATGTTGAATTTTATCATTTTTTTTTCTATTGAAATGGTCATGTGATGATTATCCTTCATTGTATTTAAGTGTGGGGACAAGTACATGGAGTACTGCATACATGGCATATGTTAAGGTTGTATGAGTGGCAGGCCACTCCCCTTGTGGTAGGCATGTGAGAGGCAGGCTGCTTTCCCTATAGGCACAGCCCTGGACATGAGGCCATGTGTTGCAGTTCCTGTACTTGCTCCATAGCCCACTCCTCAATTGGTCACTGTAAGGACAGTTAGCAGACATTGCATTGGTGGCTACCTATAATCTGCTCAGCTACCACCTGAGTATATATACATGGTAACTGTGCAATAAAATCAGACTTGCTTCCTGCTTGGTCTCCAGAGGTCTTGATTAGCAACTCCACAGCCACACTCTCCTCTACCCTGTTCCATGGACCTCCTCGCTGGACAAGAGAGAGCCCTCGCACTTACTGATTTGCATATGTTGAAGTATTACTGCCTACCTGGAATGAAACTTACTGTTGATCATTTAAATGTTACTTACAGGAATCATGATGAGGATATTTACACATGTGTTCATCAAGGACATTGGTATATAGTGTTCTCTGTATTTGTGGTGTTCCCATCAAATTTGAGGGCAAAGTTTTTCTAGCATATCAGAATGAGTTTGAAAGTCTTCTTCTCTATTTCATGGGCTAGCTACTTAGGGTGCAGATGTTGGTTCTTTAAAAGTTCTTTGAAGTTCAGCTGTGACTCCATCTGGTCTTGAGCTTTCTTTGTTGGAGGACTTTTCACTCCTGCTTCAGTCTCCATGCTTGGAATTGATCTATGTGAGTGTTCATGTCTTCCTGGTACAACTTATAGGTCAAACATGCCTAGCAATGGAAGCTCACTGACAGACAGCAGCATTAGAATGTGTGATCTTCTTGATAATCTCAGAAGGGCCTCTCAAACTTCATCCCATTTGGAAAGCAATGACTCAGAGGCCCAGGACTGGACAGTCCAGCATTGACTGGCACAGTGAGAGCCTGCTGTGTTTTTAATAATACAGAAGCCTTAGTACTACTTGGAATACTCTTTTGATTGACACGTGTGTTTATTTGGAAGTAGGAGGGGATTGTAAATGACATCTCCCCTTGGCTTCCATTTTTGGCTGACTCCCAAAGCTGAGACCATATGGACAACAAACCTAAAAATCCTACCCATTCTTCAAAAGGTTTTCAACTAAATTAGATAAAAACTGATGAGTAGAGTCTCGGTTCATCAACAGGCACTTAGAGACTGCCCAGGTAGTAAAAAAAAACAGAAGCAGTGACGAGGACACGAGGATGTCCTCAGGGCACAGATGTACTGTGAGAGTACTCAGGGCCTCCCTCTACCTGGGGACTATGGAGGTCACTGTGCACATGCCAGTCCAGCAGTACGGCCTTCACTAACTTGGAAAAACCCTCCACACTTAAGGCCTTTCAAAGTCCAGCTGCCTGGATGTCCTACAGCTCCAGGAGCCGGCCACAGAGGATCTCACTTGATTCTGAACCTCCTGCGGATCTTACCCCAGGTGGGCTCTGCATGGCAGCACTATTAGGGGCATTGGGATGCCCTGGCATTTCCCTCAGGCACTCTGAACAGCTCAGCCCTCAGCCCAGGCAGGCCAGCGCCATCCTCAGAAGCCCTGAGCAGACAACTACCCAGTGGGCTTCCTGGGTTGCACCCAACTAACAAGAAGAAGGACTTTGTCACACACCTACATTTAACTACTAGTCTAAATGTGACTAAGTGATAGTCCTGTTGGCCTTTGTGACTGGTTTATGGAGCAACCTAAAACTCAGTGGGTTTAGGAGGACCAAACGCATTGCCTTTCTGCATTAGCTTTTGAAACAGGCTTCATGGATCCCTCTCTCCATGGAATATGGGTATGAAGTGGTCCCACCAATGCAGCCCCCCACCTGCAACCAGGGTATACCAGTCTTCTATGTTAGGGAATGGCTGCAGTGAATAAGGTCACTTGGCCCCATCTGGTCACTAGCACAGAGACATGCCCTGTGACCACGAGGGAGGCAGGGCTACACTGAATAATGTCACATGGCCTCACTTGTCACATATGCAGATCTCCATGTGATGTGAAGATTAGTGGGACAGTGCTGAGGGGTCTCAGAGAGGACTCAGTGCTTCCTCAGAAAATGATTCACCTAGTCTCTCTGGGCAGCACTGATATTCTTCATTTACTGATATTCTTCATATGAAGAATATCAAAGTCACTTCAAGAAAAAGTGAGTTCCAAGAAGACAAAATCAAGCTCAAAATCCCAGATGAAGTCAAACACATGAACTGATTGTGTGGGTGGAGGGCCCCTTCCTCCTCAGGTTATTCTTTTATGATTGTAAATGATAAATAATCCTGAGTCCATTCCTGTGTTACCTTCAATACTACTCCATGAGTTTCCACAATTGACGTCAGCCCAATTCCTTCCATTTACCTTTGGCTTTCCTGGTTCTCAGAAGGACAGCACCAGTGACTGCCAAGCCGACAGCCAGGAGAACATCAAACACAGCCAGCAGCACAGTCCAGGGGCTGACCCTGGAGAAGAAGCCACCTGGAAAACAGGACCATGGCGCTGAGATCTAGGCTGACTGCAGGTGGTCTGGCTGATGGGGACGAGACCTTCCTGTTCCCTCAGGGAGGCATCACCAGGCAGCAGAGACCCCAAGCCTCACCAGCCCTCCCAGCACTCCTAAGGACCTCTGCTTCCTGCCTCCTCCCAGCCTGGGCAGGCCCCGAGCTGCCCTGTCAAACCAGGCAGCTGTGTGGAAAGAGAGGCTGAAGAGAGGAAAGTAATGCAGCAGACACTGTGTGAGTAGCTCCAGATTTCACCAAAGCCTACATGAGGCAGGTGACATGCAGTGTTCTTATAATAAGGAACAGGCTGCAGATGTGATAGAGTTTCTCCATCACCTGCCCTCCCCCACCTCTGAGGCCCTAACTGCCTTAATCATGGGTCCATTCCTCCAGGGGTCCTCCTCATCACGTGGATGTGAGTCTAAGGACAAGCTGAGGACTCAGAGGGACACCAGGTGCACATGGGGTTGGGGGGTTTCCTGGAAAAGATGGCTCTTGGGTTAGGTCCTGAAGGACCATCTGGAAAGTTCACTTGATGAGAAATAGAAGAAAAGTGGCCTCCAGTGCCCATGAGCACTAGAGGGTGGGTATGTCCAGGGGCTGATGTGAGATATCAGGAAGTGGGAGGAAATGGAAGAAAAGATGGAGAAAATCTGGGATCACATGGAGATCTGCATATGTGACAGAAGGCCCTGAGGGCATCCTGAAACACAGGCTGCACTCTGCTCCCTGACTGGGAAAGGGAGAGGGCAGGTGCAAGGCAGTGCTGGAGCCAGACTGTTCTTCACATGGAAGGGTAGACCTGGGTGTTTGATCCTCTCTACCTGCAAGATGAATTATTAGTCTACATTACAACTGTATGAGGACACACTATTATCCATTTTTAGTAGTTGGAATATGAGCATAATACTCAGCATATGTCAAGGTCACAGAGGTGTTTCTGGTCAGCATTTTAGGTCAATTTGACAGGTGGAGGAAAAAGCCCAATTGTTTTTTATGAGTAAACCTGGGCAGGGGGATTAGGAAAGGCTACAGAGATATTGACAGACCCCTCTCAGCCCTGTTACCCTTGAAGGCTTTGGCATATCCATTTCTACCCTGTTAAATAATGACTTTGTTGACCTCAGCAGGAGTGCACAGGGGAAGTGGGTATATCTGAACAGGTCCCTACTCAGGAGTGACAAAGGCACCCACTGGACCCTCATCGCAGTCTGTGTCAGGAGTCTCTGCTCCTCACAGCTTTCTGATCAGCACTGGAACCTCTGGATGGGCACCTTGGGGAAAACTGACCTGCCATGGACACATGGGCTTCCTTCTCCTCATTGAGGACAGGGTTCCTGATGGAACAAGACACATGTCCTCTGGAACTTTCCTCTATTGAGAGAGAGGACTCCATATGGAATAGGCCGTCTCCTGCCATAGTCCTGGTCTCCAAGGCAGGTTCCAGATGGAGTCCTCCAGGGCCACTCCACTGCACCTCT